TAGTCTGGGCCACCGTAGAAAGATCTCTTTCGGTACCCAGCTGCAAATTTATCTTGACTCGGTAACAATGGTAAATCAGCAATGCATCATACAATAGTTTCTAGGCATATCGGCACTCAACATACCTTTCAGCATCTCAGACTCCTCAGCCGTGAATCCAACCCAGTCAGCACTTAAGGGTGATCCAATGGCAGGCCCCTTCCCCCTAAGTCTATCAACAACCACCCTGCATCTCTTTCTATTACGGGACGTAATTTCTGGACTAAGAACGGGGAAGAAACCATCATCTAAAAAAACAAAGGGTCTGTCACAGGTACGAAGAGGAATCGAGAGAGTGCAGGAGGCACACCTATAAAGGAAAAGGACTTATTTTAAAAGGGCACCCGTACATTCTCTTTTAGGTAGGCCTGAGGATATGTAGGGCAACAGTGAGTCACAGAAAGACAGCCTTTGTCGAACAACACGTCGGGGAGGTGGTTGACTGGTGCTTGAACTGGCCTTACGACGAACAGAACGGCGCTGAGGTATGACTCACAGGAATGACATGAAGAACAGAACAACCACAACACACTGCAACAGGAACGTAACACAAAGAAAGGTAATCTAATCAGGCGCATTAAACAGCAAAAAGGCATACACCTAGACCCAGGAACAGAATTCAAAAGATAAGGCTCTATAAAGGGCATGGAACTACTTTTTTTAAATGAAAGGGAGATGCATCCCAAAAGTAAACTATAAGCCTTTTTAAAAATACACAGGCAGAAGGAAAAGGCAATCAAACAAATCCGAGCGGCGAAAAAACAAGAGAGAGAGAGAGAGCAAGTACATGAAACACATTCCCAAGAGCCCATGGGAAACTATAAGCCCAAACGAACAAGATTCTCTAAAGTTCGTGGCCCAAGAAATACCTTCCCAAAAGCCCATGAAGAACCAGAAGCCCAAAAGGAACAGGGTCCTCTAAAGCCCGTGCTAGTTTTTTCTCTATAAGAGAAGGGGGTGGTCCAAAGGCCAAAGACCCAGCCGAGGAAGAATCAATAAACAAGTAACATATTTATTATTTGGGCACGTGGGAAGAGCATTGAATTCGAAGAAGAAGACTATTCTTTTCAGCCTTGCAAAACACAGAAAGAAAACACTGTAAGAGCCATATAGAAAGCCCAAGGACTCTATTGCATCAGAGGAATGAACCAATTCAATACAAAGCAGGCACGCAGGCACAAATAGGAAGCCCAGAAAAGATAGCTAAAGAGATTGAAGAGAGGAAAGCATCTGAGAGCACAGTAGACCCCAGTCAAACTGGACCAGAACAGGGCCAACATCTAGATTTATCTTCGTCTCTGCAGACGTACGGCGCAAGTGCAATAGCTCTCTCTCCAAGTGACCAACACGCCGAATGGTAGAGACTGCAACCGTTATGGAAGAACGAAGGGAGATCCTATAGGCCATCATACAGTCATAATTATAGTCTCGAACCACAAACCCATACAGACGCTACAAAAAACTTATAGCCTGGAGGGCAGCCTGTTCATAAGCATGGACAAAACCACACCAGGCTGAGCTCCAAAAAAATCTCGTCGTGGAACCGGAGCAGAACTATCCCTTGGAAGCTCCAGTTCTACCCCACCAAGAACGGACCCATCCTCCGTGACCTCACACAGATACAAAAGCGCCGGCAAAGAACACCGAGCCACCACGGCTTCCAAAATGGGTATAACAGTTGAAATAACAGTACACATCCTGCTCACACGCAACGAAATTATAAAAAACTGAAAAATAACACGACCCCCGGAGCAGATCCGGAATAGCGAGATTATCAGTACATCAACAACCATGATAACATGCACAAACAAGTAAATACATCGGAACCCAAAGGTAGCTGACATGCAATGGAAAAGGAGAGCAAACCTTGAGGAGCAACAGCAGGTCACAGATTCAAAAACAGATCAGCCTTTCCAACCTACAAAATAAATGCAGACAGAACCATTAGAACACACCAAGTCAGAGAGCACATATATATTCTATCAAAGGTACTAAACAAGTGCAGAGCCACAGAACGACACCAGAACAATTCTTCTTTTAACCAAAGGAAACAACATCACTTAGCATGACAAAACACCATCCACTACATCTATAGCAGCTTTTAATCACTGAGCAATCAAACTGTATACATGCAGGAAGCGAAGGACCATCAATCAATTTCAACCACCATGTTTTTTCAAGCAAAGTAAAAACACAAGAAGTATAAACCTTCAGGGCCACTGCAGAGGCAACAGGCAAACAAAACGGACTAAGCACGACATCTTCTCGGACCTAGTCTTTTGGGCTATCACTAAGCAATGCATCTCTCGACAATCCAAAAATAGAGACAAACAAGCAAAAGAGAAGCACATTACCAGAATGACGAAGCACAACCGAAAGAGCAGCCAACAAGCGAACATGGACGAACAGCCGACCAACCTGAAAACAACCTAAAACACAAACCATACTCATATTAGCCGCCGACGAACAGCATGAAGTATGCACATGCACAAATCACGGAACGGGGAAATGGCAAAGCAGAGCACACGGTAGCAGGCAACCATCCTATCGAGCAGCACCCAACCATTTCAACAAACACTTCAAAGGCATATGTCCACACAGAGGCAGAAGAGACAAGCACTAACCTGAACAGCAAGAACGTAATGGCGCACGCTCCCACGCAGGAGCCAACGGGAAAATCGGCAGCAAACTGCGCACCAATGGAGCAAAGACAAGCAAAGCAGGTCAGTAAGCAGGAGAAGGAACGACAGAAACGAACAAGGAAAGGGTAAGAAGATGAACCTCAACCAACACCACCCATGGAGGAACGCGCGGCCATGGCGAGAACTGCAACGTAAGCTGGCCGAACTGGATGAAGGCAGGTGAACAGGAGAGGACACGGCGGCCTGGAAGCGTGGACGAAAGCGACCGAACGAAGCGGCGTGGAGAAAATGAGAGATAGAAGGAAGAAAGGGGAAAACCGGAGAGAAAAGCCCCCCGGCCACTGCAATGGCAGTGGCAATTCTCACAGAGGCGTATGGGAACCCACCACACATCCATCTACACGCGGCCTGCCTGCCGGGCCCAGGGGTTCTAGAGCCCACTGTCATAGGCTGCAACGACCCCACAGAGGGCACCCGCCAGAATGCGCACCCCCGACGCACACGCCGGTCATGCGGGGCGTCACGCGTACCCACACTGCACCGCACGCACGTTCATTGGCCCCGCCCACGCGGAGGGAACAGTAACAGGCAACCAGGGAGGCCACGCGCAAGTATACGTAACGAGCAATGGACCAGTGGCCCCGTCCCACCGCCTGTCCCACAATTAGCAGCATGCGGCAGAGCACACGAATGCCCGAGCGAATCCAGTCGAACCACCAACCTGAGCAGAGCCACCACCCATCCCGCCCAGCCACGCACAGATCGACGACGAGTCAAAGCAAACGCACGCAAGCACTCAAGACCAGTGACGCGCGGGACCAGCGAACGCGGGACCCAAGCAGCAGCGACCAATGACGGTGCAGAAAGGGTGATCGACGACCTGGGGATAAAAAAAGTGGCAGTACAGCCCGGAAACGACACGGCATGGGGCTGTCGTTCGACGAGACGAGCGAGACGAGACCGCTCGCCCACTCCGCTCGCCCACTCTCCATGCGTCGGGCCGGCCGAATCATGAGGTCAGCAGGCGAAACAGGCAACGCGCACACGGGTAAAAGACACCAGGAAGCTAACGTGCGGGGCCATGCGTCAGCGAGGGCCACTTGCAGCCGTACCACCAGCCAGCGAGAGGGTAACAGAAAAATACAGAGCGCAGCGACGCGGGTTTCTCGCGCGCACGCAGCGCGGCATGAGCGGCTGCCTCGCGCCCGCGCACCAGAGGAAGCAACACCCAGCCGTTTCGATCCAAGTGGATGCAGCACCGGCCCACACGTCATCCCTCGCGATGATCCACCGCTCGGTAAAAACGACAGGGTTGAATTCTAGCGGCGATCGGACGGCCAAGACGCAAAAAAAGACCTGGTCAACCCTCATCGAACGGGCAGCGAAGGAACTGATCGAGGGAGCTCCCTGGGAGCGAGTTGGCCAGCATCTATTTTGTTTTAAATTATTCGGTTGCTATTGATTAATATTTACACTTCAAATGTATCTAGTACCCCCTCCATTTCTTTTTAGTCTGGATATAAGATTTGGTCAAAGTCAAGCATGGTAAAGTTTGACCAGCTTTATAGTAAAAAATATCAACATCTACAATACTAAAGTTATATGTTGTGAAAGTTAATTTTATCATGCATCTAATAGTATTGATTTCATACTATGAATATTGATATTTTCTTCTACAAAGCTAGTTAAATTTTACATAGTTTAACTTTGACCAAATCTTATATGCAAACTAAAAAGTAACGGAGGAAGTAGTAGATGGGCCAGGCTTGGGACAGACGTTTTACGCATGTGGTTGAATGGCCGGCTCGTGTCCGCGTCCGCGGCCGCACAACGAGTCTGTTTTACGGCACTAGACATGCCCTAAGAACAGCACACTGTTTTTGGCACGAGAATTCCCTCTACGAAATGCGCGGATGGCTCCACGTACTTGCAGCTAGGAATCAACATGGCATGAGTTTTGCCGATGACCTTCCCACGTGTCACGAGTACCCTTCCAAAGGAGGTTTAAAAACGACTTTTCAGTCGCTGGGTTCACGGTCCTCTCACGCGCGGCCGCGAGCCTGCAAACCGGCGGCCATGGCTCGCAGAATACGGCGCGGCACCGGCGAGTGGTTTCGCAGGCAGAAACTAATAACTATGGCCGTGCCCACCGGTTCAGCACCTCCCGGCTCCCGATAAATTCCGGCCGGTCGCACGAGCCGCTCCAGGCCTCCAGCTTCTCCACGCCCCAAGAGAAGACACACCGTCAAAAAGAGAGAACTTCAGGAGGAGATCAGTAGCGCGTGAAGGTTTTCATTTTTGCTGTGCCGCCCGTCAGCCATGGACGTGTACATTTCGGAGGAGTACGTGATCCAGCGGCGCGCTGAGAAGAGGGCGGCGGCTCGGAGGGCGGCCACGGCCGACGCCGTCAAGGAGGAGGCGGGGAGGAGCCGGTGGACGGCGCCGTGGGCGGACTCTGAGCAGAAGGCCAATGCAGACGCCAACGCCAACGCCATCGCCAATGCAGCTGGGTGGAGCTCGAGGGGCGGCGACGAGGTCATTCTTGCCTATTTATCGGCGTAGGTGTCGTCGTCCGGTTGCCTCTGTTGCCAATGGCCAAGATGGTCTACCAGTAGATGACCAGATTTTGATTTTGTGCTCAGCACTTGCTGAATCGGCAAATTTTGCCTGGCTGTAATTAGCTGAGCCATTTTGTACATTGTATGACTGGGCAAAAGGTTCAGTTCACTTCATGGTCAAATTCTTTGCAGTCATTTCTCAGAGAGCGTCGAAGAATCTTCTGCTCTTCCGGTTGCGTGTGCTGCCAATGACCAAATGGTCCATGAGTAGGTACATCAGTGGTTCACTAGATTTTGTAGTCACCACTTGCCGAATCGGCAGATTTCCCTTGCTTGTAATTTTAAAATGCTGAGCCATTTGACAAAAGGTTCAGTTCACTTCAGGGTGAACTTCTTTGCAGTCACTTCTCAGGGAGCGTCGAAGGATCTTCTTCTCATCCTGTCACCCAACCCACATCTATCTACAAATCTACAGTCCCTGTTGGTCATCAAAAGGGTAAAATTTCAAATACCCTGGTCCCGAATCTGAACTAGATTGCAGGGACTCAAGTAACTCTTGGTAAACTAGACAGCAAAGTTACATCCGGTGGATCTGATCTAGATTGCCGAAAATAGTGCAAAAGAAGTGGAAAAGTTATTGCCTGTACTACAAACATACAAATGATGGAACAAAATTGAGCAGACCGGTTAGGCACTGACCAGATGGTACATGAGTAGATTTTGTGGACAGCACTCAGCACTTGCTGAATCAGCAGGTTTGCCTAGCTGTAAATTAGCTGAACCCTTTTGTACATTGTTTGATTGGGCAAAAGGTTCGGTTCAGGGTGAAATTCTCTGCGGTCATTTTACAGATAGCATCAAAGAAGGATTTCTCATCTTACTTGTCACCAAGACGGCAAAATTTCACATTTCATGGTTCTGAACCTCAACTAGATTGCAGCAACTAAAGAAAATCTACTGGTAAACAAGATGGCAAAATTTTACATTCTGCAATTCTGAATCGGAACTAGATTGCAGAAAACAGTGTAAAAGAAGATGAAATGTTATTGCCTGTGCTTCAAATATACAAATGATGAAACAAAATCGAGCAGCCGGGTCAGGAGTCAGGACTTCGCACTGATGAATACCCAAGCCTGTGCTCGCTCTGCGCAGGAGCAGTGACATACAGCACGACGGATGCGCCCAGTAGTAAGACAACAAGGGCAGTAAAATTTACCAGCAGGGCTTCCGAGCTGTATTTGCCCAGACCCGCGGTCTGAAGGAAAGTGAGCTTCTCCAGGAACCCCAGCTCGGCCGCGAGCAGCGCCAGCACGTAGACCACGAGCCCAGCACGAACATGCCATGGGAGCACGGCACGTCGGAGTGTCGGCGAAGCGCCGGGAAAGAAGAAGGTGAGAAAGCCAGATACCCACTGAAAGATGGCATCAGAACATTAAGGTTTCAGGTAATACACAAACAAAGCTGAAACTAGTTATTTTCAAACAGTTATCTTGATTATATACCACAAACATAACCACCGTTTCTGAAGAAGAATAACCACTGGAGACTTGATCAAGATGAGGACGTGTATGTTTAAAAATTAATTTATTGATGCTTCAGAATGATCTCATCTTGTAAGAGTGAATCACGTCTGACACAATTAACACATATCGCCAATCTATAGGTGTGAAGACACCTAGCTTGCTTACGGATATAAGTAGGACAATATACTTGCATAATTGATACCCCAGTGTCACTAATGGGGATTAACCTTGTCAGCAGATGGTTTAAAGAAACAGAACCCATCTGAGAAATTTTAGTATGAATTGCCCTAAGATCCTCCATTAGTTGGGAAGTATCCTTCATCATGTCAAACACCGTGAGAGTTCAGTTCTAGTGCTTATTGCTTTGGTTATCGTCAAAGAAAATATTCTCTTCTTTTTTAGGGAAAGAAAATTCCCTCTACAGATGGAGCACAGCATCACAGATTTCAAAGCTTCAAATTCACTGAGCAATTCGGTGTCTCCCATGGTGCCGGCTCATAGTGGAGAACTCCTTAGAACTAACACTACTGTGTTCTGTGTTACTAGAATTTACAGATGCAACAAATAAATGCAAATAACTTTTTTTGGAACAATCCAAATAACTACGGTTATTCAAATTCCAAGACTCACAGAATATGGAATCACCAAATGCTAATGGCTTATGCGGATTACCTGTAAACCATACAAAATGATAGTGCCAAGTCCAACCCAGGAGTGTAAGCTGTATAGATTAGCGATTCCACTTTCATTGTGAAACTTGAACGCAGCATATATCCCGAACGATCCCAGGAAAAGCGCAACGGCATGAAGAATCAAATGGACCTTCTTATTTGTGTCATGGCTCCATGGCAATGTTTTGTAGCTCATTATGGCTGCAGAAAAACTACAAGTAGCTTGATCAGACATGTTTAAACCTCCTCATCATGGAAAAACCATCAAGGAAGAGAAGAGAACCTAACCTTCACTCCCTATGATGATGAATCCGATCAGCATAAGGACAGGATGAACCTGCATGGTAGTGAGCGGATGACGTTATGAATTTTGACATGAACAACATTATGAATTTGAGCACAAGACTGAGCTTATAACATTAGCCATTAGGTGACTATACAAATAAACATTCAGCAATTAGGTATTTGGTTTAGCTCAAAATATGGAATTCTGCCGATCCCAATCCAACTTTTATGGGCATACGTCCTTAGAATGCACTTGTGTGCCAGGATCCCATTTACACCGAATTAAACTTTAAAAATGACCTTCAGCAAAGATCTTCCAAGAAAAACCTGGAGCCTTATACATGTGCTCTTCCTTCCAACAGTAGATGCATACGATTTACTTTTCCACGCGGACAAAAAAGGGCGGGCATTGGATCATCAAGTTTCATGATCAGACCCACCTAAGAGGCTAAGACGACAACAGCTAGCACACTAGAGTCTTGCGACCAAAAGCAAAGGACGCCACCATTAACCGCCACGCACGTGCCATTAACCAAGCTCAAGCAGTGCCTACGCAGACGAGGGCATGAATTTCACAGCAATTAAAGATCCTACCTAACCAAGGACCGGGCATCTCCCCCAGGATGAAATGCCTCATCCACGATCCATAAACGGAAAGCTAGGGGGTAGTTCTTACGTACGTTAAAGATGAGCCCCTTGTTGGTGGGGGAGCTGAGGGCGAGGCCGCCGCCGAAGTGGACGCACCACAGCAGCACGAGCGCCGCCGCCGTGGCTGCGAGCGCGCGCGCCGCCTTGGCCGGCGCCGGCACGGCCATCTCGTCAGGCGACGGAGAGGAATCGGAGTCTTCCCTTTGTAAAGTCAAACTCCTTGCGGGTCCAGTGATCCAGTCCATGAGCGTGCTGAGGAAGAGGGCACATTGGGTCCATGGTCTGGTTGGTAGGCAGGCCTTGGGCAAAAACGACACTTTCTGTAATTGGGAATGGGCCGAGTAGATCCAATTAACTCCGTTAATGTGTGTTTGGTTAGACCTCTTACGATCCTACTGATGTTCTCTTGGATCAGAAGGTGTGATGTTTGTGTTAAAAAAAAAGAAGGTGTGATATTTTTTCCCTGTAAAAAAGAGGGAAAACGTTTGGTATCTACACGCCGGCCGAACGCTTCGGCCGGTCGTCTTCTCGCACGCGCTCGTATTCATCTTTTTTCCCCAATCTCGTGCAGGTGTCGCCGAAGGGCACAAGGTGGAGCTCGCCGCAGTCGGCCTCCATCCCAGGCGCCAGCTCCTCGCAGGCCTCGGCCACGGCCGTGAGCGGTTGCTCCATCCCCTGCCGCGCGGCCATCACGGCCGCTGTTGTCACACGTATGTTCGGAGCTTGCGCCGGTTATTCTAGTAGCTATGAAGCGACCACGGTGGCGCTTTGCTCGCCGGTTTTTTGCTACGAGGGAGTGTTGTTTAGGGAGTGCACGACGATGCTGCGGTGCTGGCACCCATGGCCGCCGCTGCCGGGGGCGACGTATCCCGGCGAACCTGCAGGCGAAGCACTGCAGATTCCGCCGCACACCCCCGTGTGCTGCAACCGCTAAAAAAAACTTCAAACTCTAGATGAAAAGCTTCAATCGGATATACAGAAGCTGCAAGCGTTCAGTGCCATTGAGGAAAGCTACAACTGTCAACAGAAAATGTTACAACCTTCGATGAAAAATGTTTCAACCGAACGATAGATGAAGATTTCACCCAGGCGCTGCTCAAAACGAAAAAAGTTTCAAACGTTTACAGAAAAGTTTCTACTGTAGAGGGGGAAAGCTTCAACCATTGGGAAAAAAACTACAACTGTGTCAATTTTTTGCTACTACCATCTGTGTGTTTTGCTACATCCATTCATGAGGCCATGGTGCTTTTTTACTACTGAGATGTGACCGGCGATGACGAGGACATCATTTTTGTTGCAACAGCCTCGTTTTTTGCTACTACTTGGACGTGTTTTGCTACATCCATTCACAAAGCCTGGTGCTTCAAGCGCGGCGGCGAGTTTCGACAGTTTTTTTTTTTGCTATAACCGTCTTTGAATTTTGCTACATCCGTTCATGGATTAGATGCAAACCGCGGCGAGTGTTGCATGTATCGATGGTCGGCAGCGACGGAATTGCGGCGGTTTCATCACCAAGTTGCGGCTGCCGGCGGAGGTGGCTAGCTGCCATCCACGGGGGGCGGGTGCGGCGAGGTCAACGGCC